GTCGATGTTAGTGTCAATCTCATAATATCTCGCGGTATTTTGTTTCCATGGCATCAAAATGTCTGAAGCAGTTATCTGCTGCCTGATTCTATGTGAAAAGACGGTAATGTCAAAGCGAAGAAAAAAAAAGTTGTTAGACTAAAGATTGGGTTTATCCGTCGTGACAACCACGGACAATACAACCATATAATTATTGACCTGAAATTGTCATATTACAACTGTTTTTCCCCAGACAATGGGAAACGAAACGCTGCGAAATCGAGGCGTTATTTCTTTGAAGCAGACGAAGCCATGTTCAGCACATTTAAACCCGTGAAGGTCTGGGTTAGAATGAACCTTCAGTTACCCATGCTTGTAGTAAGAGGCAGTTAACGGGATCGGTGATCAGGTTCGCTGACTTGGTTGACACATGTCATCGTATCCAACTTGCGTAGCTCGATGCTTATGCTGTTAGTTACAGGATTGTCTGGTCCAGACTCGAATATTTACAGACCGCCGGCATATAGCTGGAATATTGCTGAGTGCGGCGTAAAACTAAACTCACTCACTCAGTGCTTTTATGTAAACATTCACCAAGGGACACCAAAACGCAATGTGATTGGCCGCGCCACATCCAACTTGCCGAATAACTGGAACAGGCTCTACACACTCGACACAATCGATGTGGGTTCGATTTGTACCGTTCGTTGAACTCGATTATGAACTCGATACATGAGACGATATGACTCAGTCGAATTCGGTATTTGAATTCGGCAGGACGACCTCTGAGTCCGTATCTATGCACAGTTTCTGATAAATAGGTTCCGAAACGTTACTCCAGTCTGTCTTTGTCTTTTTGGTACATCCAGGTACCCAGATTTCGAAAGGTAGCAGCGTCTGCGGAAATCGTGTGTCTCGTGTCATCGTGTGTAGGTAATCGCAAGCAAAGTTCTTCTCTCTAATGCACATCTGATAACATTTCGTTGAGGGTAGTTTTCTGCTCGCATCAGCATCGTTGTGACCATTGATACTCAGTCCGGGGTATTTTATGAAACTTTTACCATAAGATTTGCAACCTGGGGAATAGATTGTAGGATCACAGAATTGTGTTGACCATAGAGCTTTCGTACAGAGGAAATTAGTTTTTTATTTAACACAGGGATTTAATTGTGATGTTACAATGTACCAGGTTATTGGTTGGAGGCGCAAACACCTCAAACCTTAAAATGAGGTGAACCGGTGAAATATCTCTCTCTATATGTATACACTTGGAATATTCAAAATGAAGTTTCAGCCAATGATACTTAGTCCTTTTTTTATTTTGGTTATCAAAAATGACCAATGAACATAGCTGTAGCAAACTAGGAACCACGTGACCTCGTGGGTAATCCGAAATAATTGTCTTACCTTAAACCCGAAATCAAGTTTTCTATAAATCTCTAAGTTAAACGCATTCTGTGTTTTTACTGATCAAAAACGTTAAGAAACTCATGCACTTATAATTTAGAATTGCAGAAACGAAAAATCTATTCTACTTTAGCAGCAACAATTAGGTTTGCCTGGAAATTAGCGAAAGGCCGACTTGTCGAGAGGCGTGTTCAGTAACAGTACCCCGCGTGCTGAGCGCTGAACGTACATGTTATACCGGCAGAGGCACTATATAGGACCCCGTTTCCTCCGTCACCAGTTCTTAATTTCCAGATATGGTGAGCTGAGATACATAGCCCTCACATACATAACGCTATCTTCGGGAGGGAATCCCCGACATCATCACAGGCCAGGTGATTCAAACTGGCGCAGCTCACACGCGAGTGATCTACTGAGATGTTTGATGGTTTGCAAATATTAACGTCTGGATATTTTATTAACGAAAATAGGGCGCACTTGTAGGTATAAGTACAAAGAAGCCATTCATATAAGTTTATCGTGTGCAATAATTCAACGGCTGCGTGAAAGTGCGACAAAGGATTTCCTCCACTGCTGCTTAAAGAGGGGCTTCTTAGCGTTCATGAATGTGAGCGCTGTGTATCTTAGCTAAGACATGAGTAGACATGACAAAGATCTTTGATATGAAACGTCATATACTGGAGATGAGAGTACCGTGATTGCGATGCCAGTACCGATATCTAATAGAAGCAAGTCTCTAATAGAAATCGTTTTCTGCAAGTGTTTCCAGGATAACACCTATCCTGCAAAACTGACTTTACGTTTTACACAGTTTTTTCTTGGCAGGGTTGTAGCTGTACCTTTGCAAGTCCGGTAAAGCATACTGTATCCGGCCCCTTACATAAAGAATGTCCAACAACAAAAACTGACTTACGTCTGACACAGCTGTTGTTTGAGGGGTTGAAGCTGTACCCTGGTACACACTTGCAAGTCAGGTGGAAGCATACAAACTTTCTGTTTGCTGGGCAGTTAGAGGTGGTTGAGCATCTGGATTCAATGCTGCTTCTGACCATGTGACCTGTACATGTTCTCACTTATTTCAGGCTGCATTTTATGATTACGATACACGGCATTGTAATGTCACGGAACAGATTAAATTGTAAAGTGTATGATTTTGTAAATCCAAACTTTCCAAATCCCAAATGTGAGTGAGTGAGTTTGGTTTTGAGCCACTTTTTGCAATTTTTCAGCACAATATCATGGCAGGGAACACCAGAAATGGGCTTCACACATTGTACCCAAGTAGGAAATCAAACCTGGGTCTTCCTCGTGACCCAGTGTACAGTAAATTCTATCAATCTGAAAAAGATGACAGAATGTTCAAAGAGTGGACATCCATAGTCTGTTTATGTTGAACATACATGCCACCGTCAGCATTTTAGTGTACCGAAGATATTCAAAATTTAAAGCCAACGTGTCCCCTTGGTGAAACAACTCATTACATAAACTTAAACACCTTTTTCTATAACCCCCACTCCCCCCCCAAAAAAACAAACACACAACAAACCAAACAAAACAACAAAGAAAACCAACAAAAAAAACGAAAACATAACAACAACAACCCCCAATATACAGAAACAAATAATAATGATAAAAACAACAACAAAAAACAACAACAAAAAAACCCAAAACAAACAAACCCAAAGTTCCCTGCACGAAAACATAATATTGTGTGAATGCTGACATCAAGATCCTGCCTGCACTTTCGTTTCAGGTGTGCAAAAAATGCCACTCTGGTTTAACATAGCTCCGTGAGTTAATCAACAATATCTTGTCTATATCTTTGCCCTTTGAGCTTGTAATGATTTCACCAATAAAATTGACTTACGTCTTACACAGCTGTTGTTGGCAGGGTGGAAGCTGTACCCTCGCACACACTTGCAGGTCTTGGTGCGACAAACGAACTTCCTGCCTGCTGGACAGTCAGTGTTTATTGGGCATCTGGATTCAAGGGAGCTGCTGACTGTGTGACCTGTGTATGTTCTCACTTATTCAGGCTGCATTTATATTAACGAAACTGGACAAAGTTAAATTCAAGGCATCAAGTTCTAGCAGCAAACGTACTAAATCCAAGCTGTGAAAACAGTAGGAAAATTAAAACGTCATCCATCTCTGACACCAGCTCGTACACCTTAATCACAAGTTCCATCAGCACCTCTGTCATTTCTGGTAGCATCACGTACACCTCAACCGTCTCTAATACCATCTTGCACACTTCAACCACAAGCTCAAGCCGCATCTGTCATCTCTGACTCCATCTCGTACACCTCAACCACAAGCTCCTCCAGCAACATAACCACCTCGTACACCTCAACGATCTCTGACACTATCCCGTACACCTCAACCACAAGCTTCTCGAGCAACTCAACCATCTCCTACATCTCAATCATCCCTGACATCATCTCGTATACCACAACCACTAACACCTCACCAATATCAAGCTGCATATTTTCCAACTTCTGCTGTCTCAAAAACATGCACATGGATGACACACTCCGTAACAGGTTTCACCATCCTGATCAATATCACCACCCGCAGCACAAATTGTAACAAAATGTAACCATTAAATCTTTTCTGAAAGAATTCACCGTGAATCCAACAAATAACAAAGAAATGTTATACAACACTAATTTTGTTACAAGCTCATGGTGGTATATTCATAACAATGGTTACAATAATGTGGAAAATTGCAATAGCAGCCACACTGAGCGTGTGAGTGAGTTAAAGTCAAACACGACACGTGACCGAAAGAGCCCGTCAGTTAGTCCTGAACGAGGATAGTTAACTTAGGTCACCGACACGGTCGCTTTTCTGTTTGTTTTCTGCCTAGATTAAGTCCTTGGCATCTTGCAAAAGAAATACAGATCGCTCTCACACAACGTATAGTGTAAAAAAGTACACTTTTGCCCTGAACTACTATATTTAAAGCACCAGGACGGAAGCCCTAGTTCAGGGCAAAAGTGTACTTTATTACACTTTACTATGGGCAAAGCGAACTGTATTTCTTACACATTATCTGTATATGGGCTAGTGGCCTTCATGCGAATAAATGATATGTCATTCGTCAAGTCACGTCTGTTTTGTGACTGTAACAATAGTACTCACTAAGAATACATAAATCAGAGGGTTACATTAAAAGGCAGCATAATACAATATAGCAATGTGATAGCAACCAAGTCAGTGATAATAATCTTGAAGAAGTAGCATCAGCTGTCAAACTTACGAAGGTAGGCCAAGGCTGGATATTGAGGATGAAAGTCATGATATTCAAACAACCGCTGTTCGTGAGATGATTGAGTGAGTTTAGTTCCAGCAATATTCCAGCAATATTGCGACGGGGGACACAAGAAATGGGCTTCACACATTGTACCCATGTTGGGAATCAAACCCGCAACTTCGGTGTTACAAAAGAACGATTTAACCACAAGGTTACCAGATCACCCCAAATGTGAGATGATCGGAACTCACGCCTGCCCCGTTATGAAGCATAAAAAACGTTTTGGATTGTCCTACCCAATCTAAGATGAATCACTATAATAAAATTACAACCTTTATTTTGTCATGAATAATAATGTTATGCACCAACATCCACAACGTCACCATCATCTACATCTTCACCATCATCTACATCATCACCATCATCTACATCTTCACCTTCATCTAAATCATCACCATCATCTACACCGTCACCTTCATCTACACCATCACCATCATCTACACCTTCATCTACACCATCACCATCATCTACATCTTCACCTTCATCTACACACTCACCCACATCTACATCTTCACCTTCATCTACATCTTCACCCTCATCTATACCTTCACCCTCATCTACATCTTCGCCTTCATCTACACACTCACCCTCATCTACATCTTCACCTTCATCTACACACTCACCCTCATCTACATCTTCACGTTCATCTACATCTTCACCCTCATCTATACCTTCACCTTCATCTACATTTTCACCTTCATCTACACACTCACCCTCATCTACATCTTCACCTTCATCTACACACTCACCCTCATCTACATCTTCACCTTCATCTACATCTTCACCCTCATCTATACCTTCACCCTCATCTACATCTTCGCCTTCATCTACACACTTACCCTCATCTACTTCTTCACCTTCATCTACACACTCACCCTCATCTACATCTTCACGTTCATCTACATCTTCACCCTCATATATACCTTCACCTTCATCTACATCTTCACCTTCACCTTCATCTACACCATCACCCTCATCTACATCTTCACGTTCATCTACACACTCACCCTCATCTACATCTTCACCATCATCTACATCATCACCATCATCTAAATTTTCACCCTCATCTACACCATTACCGTCATCTACACCGTCACCTTCATCTACACCGTCACCTTCATCTACACCTTCACCTTCATCTACACCTTCACCTTCCTCTACACACTCACCCTCCTCTACATCTTCACCTTCATCTACATCTTCACCCTCATCTATACCTTCACCCTTATCTACATCTTCGCCTTCATCTACACCATCACCCTCATCTACATCTTCTCCTTCTTCTACACCATCATCATCATCTTCACCACCTTTATCTACACCATCACCATCAGTGACATCACAACTCTCATTTACTTGTCACCGTCATCTACATCATCATCCTCAGCTACACCGTCATCCTCAGCGATATCCTCATCTACACCACCACCCTCATCTACACCACCTCCCTCATCTTCATGTCACCGTTATCTACACCACCACTCTCATCTACACCATTACCCTAATGCACACCATCACCACTATTTACCTCCTCATCCTCATCTGCGCCATCACCCTCATATATACATCATTACCCTCAGCTACTCCACGACCTTCATCTATACCATCACTCTCAGCTACATCCTCACCGTTATCTACATACCCGTGAAGATCCAGGTTAGAATTGATTTTCATCAACCCATGCTTTCTCCCCGTGAAGATCAGTGTTATAATTTGTCATGTTTGTTGTACGATGAGACTAACGGGATCAGGTGGTCAGGCTCGCTGACTTGGATGAAACATTCTCATCGTATCCCAATTGCGTTGATCGATGCTCATGCTTTTGATCACCGAATTGTGTGGTCCAGACTCGATTACCTAAAGCCATATAGCTTGAATATTGCTAAGTGCAGCATTAAACAACAAACCAACCAGCCAACCCACTCTTACATCATCACCCCTTCCCACACCATCACCCTAATCTACACCATCACTCTCAATACTATGAGAATGTTCCACACAGAAAACATAATGTTCAGAAGATCTTGTCTTGGCAAAAGTCATAAAAGAAGTCTTACTGTCAACACAGACTGCGCCACCATGACGTCTCTCCACACAGTGAGTGTTCGATTTACAGTTCACGTGGGAGCACGCACCTGCAGAAACCTGAAACATGCAAAATAACACCACAGCCAGTGGTGGTTATTGTTCCTGTCCAGGGTGTGATGTAAGGAAAGGCATAACAAAGATGTTTTCTGTTCTGACACCTTCTCATAAGTTCACCTGTTACATTACAAGTAGTACTATACACAATAGCCTTCCCAAAGCCTTAATTTGACCAAATTAAGGCTTTGGGAGAACCTAATCCCGTTTCTCCATTGTGTATACTACTACGGAGGTACATGCTAAATGTCTCAAATCGGTCGAATAGTTTAGGAAATATTCACTTTTTATTGAGCATGGGATCTGTCTGTGAAAAGGCTAAGCTTCCAACATAAAATGTCGTACTTGGTCATAATGGCGAAGCGATTGAAACAATATTTTAATAAAACGTCCGCTGCAGTCACAACCCCAACGATGGAGAAAGAAATAGATGGACTGCGATGCGCAAAGCTTCCTCCCTCGTGGGATTGCATCCAGCTGCGAGCCTCAGATAACCTTACTTGTTGTTTCGGGAAATCTTGAGATGCCGGTCAGGATACGAACTCCCAAATGGCACAGTTGCGCAGCTGCATGAAAGCAAGCTGACCCCAGCAGTTTAGCGGATTGAGCCGCCACGGCTCCCGTTGGCCTCGGTATTCGATTTTCCTAGTCTATCCTAAGCGAGCGAGAGAGGTCAGAGTTGACAGGTCGCAGTTCACAATTGTTTTCCTAGTCTGGGTTGAGTGAGCGCTGTGGGCGAGTCACAGTGTGTCTCTCTGCTCTGCTGTTCATCTACAGCTCGCTGAGCTGGCTGGCTGGCTACATTATTTAATGATAAATTTGGACCAGGTCCCTCATATTTTTTTCGATCCATCGCTTCTGCGGGAGTAAAAATATGGTTGAAAGATGGTGGATTGTCTCTCTATCACCAGGTGGACAGCTCAGATCGATAAGTAGCTCTCATTCGCTGAGCATTATCAGTATGTGTGATGGTAACAGAGCTGCGTTCGAATCACAGTAGCAGCCAAAACTTTTGTGAACTGGATACCCTAGCCATGTGACAGGATTTTATGTAGGCCAGACGGACAAACAAGAACGTTTGACCCACTTATATACCCTACTCAGACTGCATAGCCACCATGGCTCTGATGACGAATTTAGGCTGTGAAATTGGAGTTGATGGCTGATATCACGAGAAATACAACTCTGACATATTGACGGGCTTGATTCATGATGCGCTAACTTTGCGTTAACACTCATAGTCACATAGCATTACCTCTACTAATAGTTTCTTCACAAACTGATAAAATCATGAGAACTATCCAACAGTGGTCGATCGATACACTGTGTTGTGAGGTACGATCATCAACTCCTCTCTGACGAAAGCTCTCGGCGTCCCGTCTTTCAAATAGTACAAGTTTGGTTCTCCATCTTTGACGTGGACCAGGTCGATGTTGTACGTTTTCATGGACCATATCTGATTGGTGGCGCGTTTTCTGCCGTCTCCCTCGTATTCACCCGGCTGGTACAAGTACCTACGCTGACCCAGTCCGGTAATTTTTTCTGTTTTTATCATGATGTGCTGCTGCCGACGATTTGGCAGCGACAGATTTCATTTAGATGGCTTCGACGGGTCTCTTGCCCACGAGTCTTGTGACTTCGTTGTTGATAACAGCGACCACTCGCGGCAAGTGTACGACCCATTCCGTATTTCTGTTTCCAGATTGATTAAATGTGAGTACTTGTGCGAGAATAGGTGTTCGGCTAAGGTGCGATTGAATCTCTCTACAATGGCTTGGCTGCGGTGAGCTCCGGCCACACCTCGTCTCACCTGGATTTTGTCCTTGGCCAGCAGCTGCGACACGGCTCCTATGAACTCGCGTCCGGGATCGATTTGCAATATGGCAGTCCAGGTCAAGCGACTGCATTTGTATATGCGTTCTAAGGCTTTGGGCGACTTCGTATGAATTTTTCGTTGTCAACGGTTCTGCTTCCTTGTAGCGACTGGTTACATCGACGTTTGTCAGGTCGAACATGTAGGTTTTACGCCTCACTCTGTCGTGAGACAGAAACATGAGGTCGGCTTGATGAACGTGTTTCGGCGTTGAAATGTCTTCTCGGGATGTACTGAGGCGCCGGCATGTAGCTTTGCCAGATAGCTTGTTTTTTAAGCCAAGCTTTGGCGATGTCTTCTGAGAATTGAGCGGCTTAGTTGAGTTTCGGGATGGCGTCTGCGCCTTTCCAGTACCCGCGTGGGCTGTAGTAAATTTTCTCCATGTATGTATTGTGCGTTTTTAATTATTTAAAGGGGAAGTGTGCACGATAAAATGACATTTATTCTTATGTGAAACAAAGTGAAACATTTTCATTATTTAGTGTCAATGTTTGAAGTTATACACTCATTCTTCTTACAACGAAAGTATAACCCTCAAAATAAGGGCTGAAATATTGTGCCAAACAGGCAAGAGTTACCTTCCTTTGATTATGACGTAATTGGTGCCACTTGTCCCAAATCAAAAGATAATAATACTGAAATTAATCACGTGAGAAAAGTTAGTGAAAATATGAAAGTTCTAAGAATAAGAACTGAAAATGTAAGCATCAGGACAGATTGATCGTGTGTATTTTCATTCATAGTCTCACGTCAATGAAAATACCAAATATATGTAACAATGTTGACATACGTATGATATCACTATTGGGAAGCAGCATTCTCAAAATGGTGTGTTCACTGATACGAGTACTCCAGATTTTGTTGTTTCAAGCAACGTATATACATAAATGTGATGTATAAGTAGTTCGAAACATTCTGACAATCTGTTGGTTGGTATTTTCTGTTTGTTTCCTTGTGACCATGGGAAATAGTCAGAAATGAGGAGAACTTCCATCGTCGGTGTGCGTGAGTTTGCGTCAGTCATGGCGTGACGCTTTCCGAGTTGATGAATCTCGGAAATCAATGGAATACACCTATTTTATTTAACTATCACTTGCTACGATACCGTTCCGATGCATGGTCTAAATCCAATGAGCAAGTGTATGCAACAAAAGTAGGCGAACAGATACACAGAGTGAAACCTGAGATTGACTTTGTTTACATTTCAAACAAGTTGTCCTTTCCCAGTGCGGCATCTGATATATTTCGTTTGATTTCACGGAAACGCTTGGTATTGGTGACAAAGACCATTCGTCATTGTATTTTTAACTGTATGAGGAATTCAGGAATTCGTGTAAGTGTATGTGTGACGTGATGTTATAAACACTCAGCAATTCTCGTTTTATCTACAATGTTTCAGAACGAGCATTGGTGATTCGATCAAACAATAACAACAACAACAATACCGCTAATCACAATGATACCTTGTCTTTTGTTGTTGCTTTGTTTTGTTTGGTCGTTTTTTTTAATTCAATTCTCCCAACTAACTTTGACATTTGAATTAAGACATACTATAAATTACGCAAAACACAGTGAATGTGAATAAGGATTTCGTAATGTGTCAAGACTGGACAGTTTTATGGTGCTTGTAATTTTCAGTTTATTTGCCTTACAATGAGCGGATGATGTCATAGAAAAACGAATTTCAAACCGGATTAAAAACTGCCAACTGCGTTAATCTTTGTGATGTATTTGGATATGGTATCGATAGGTGGGAAGAGTGGAAGAGGTGGGACATACATTGTACCATTTATGTAGGAATTAAGTAACAAACGTAGAATGCCGACACATTCACAGATGGCAAATTAGGTGTAGTGCATAAACGTTTTCGTGAAAATCGATAATGTTGAAAGACGACCGACTCAGGTTGAATGTTGTACAATTTGGTTACGTGGTAACACTGTTTGTACAATGTATACGTTTTTTTCAAACTGCAACATCATTACAGTGTCGAACTGACCACAGAGCCAGCAGACGGCCAGGCAGCAGCTGCATTAAAACAGTAGCCTGCGCACCGAGACACAAGAACCACATCTATACCTGCACCACGTGAAATGAGTCTAACAACGTCATACATTTGTTGGTTTGGCACCAATGACGTCATTTCCAAGGGACATAAGCCATGGTGTGTTTATTGTAGACATAGAACTCTCGGTTAATGTGGAAAATTTGAATCGATATAACGCAAACAATAAATTAGTTACTTCTGATATCTGTTCTGTTTGACAAACACTTTTATGATGATAAAGTGCAAGAGAAAAAGGTTAATTTTCGTGTAAACTTGCCCTTTAATATGCGCGTGTGTCCGAACGCGTTAGTGGTGACTCCATCGATGGCAATCCATCGTTTTGTGTCCATGGGAGAGAGCGACGTCTTGTTGATTCTCAGTCCGTATATCTTGTGTCCGTCGCTTCTCAACATGTTCAGTTGGGCTTTGAAAGTACGTGTCTTGAACAGGGCTTCCTTGAATCTGGCGTGCTTGATGTGTTTTTTCACCACGTGTATTTTCACGCCTCTCGCCTTTCTGATTTCGTCATCGTCTGCTTTCTTGATGGAATACATCTTGGGTCTCAGGTCAATGCACTCGGCGATCG